CCAGTGTCGATCGTTATGAAGTACCCCCCTCGCGAGTGCAATTCCGTCAAGATTATGTCTCACGCCGAATTCGCCGCACTTCACCCACATCCACCTGCACCTGTCATCGATCGACATGATGCTCCCATCATCGATCGACATCCAGACCCTGGCATCGCTCGACACACACCTACCAGTGTCGATCGATATGAAGTACCCAAACGCCGAGTGCCACTTCCTAAAATCGATAGTGCAGGTCTTGACGCTTTCCGGGAGCGATATTACACCACCAGAAACCCTACAGCAGCCCTAAAAGAGAGACCCACGGATATTTTTGAGTCCATGGAGATAAAAATGGAAAACATGGGGAGAGTGCTCCGAAAAAGGAAAGAGAAGACACCTAAACCCTATAAAATAGAAGCTAATGAGAAGGAGTTGTCGAGTTTCAGAAAAAGAGTCCTCAGAATACCTAAAGAGAAACCTTTTGAAGAAGCTCACTTCTCACACAGATTGTGGATGTTCTTCAGAGAAACCAAGGAGACAGAAGAAGACATCAGGAGGATGTTTAACAAGTCAGAGATAGCCTGAAGCAGAAGATAACATTGAAGAAGAAGAATGATCCAGGGAAGTTCACAATACCTTGCTCCATTAGAGGTGTTGAGTTCCCACGTGCCCTTTGTGACACAGGATCAGGAGTTAGCATCTTACCCAAGCTCATGGCAGATCATCTCGGTCTGAAGATAGAGCCTTCTGAAGAAACTTTCATCTTTGTAGATTGTTCTCAGCAGAGCTCTGGAGGCATCGTTCGAAACCTTGAGGTACAGATTGGAGAAACCCTAATTCCTACAGACTTCCACATCCTCTCCAACAAGCTGAACTTCAAGACTTCTCTACTACTTGGAAGAGCCTTCTTAGCCACAGTTGGAGCTGTTTGTGACCTCCAAACCAACAAGCTCTGCCTAACCCTAATCGACCCTTCCATTCACTACGATCTTGTACCAGTAATCAAGTTCCGAAGGCCAGCCAGCTCAACACTCGTAGCCACATGTTTCTGTGCCCACGAACTTGATTCTATGGAAGAGTATGACACCGAAGACGCAGTATCAACCGATGACACCACTTCCCCATCGATCGATATCCTTGCAGCACCATCGACCGACAGTACTACCCGGTCATCGCTCGATGGAGTCTTCCGACGAAACGAAGCCGAGTTCCCAGTAGCCGATTTCAATGTAGAAAATTGGGAAAACGATCACTACTTGCCCGAGTTTTCTAGTATCACTACTCAGGAGGAGTATGATGAAGATTATGAGGAGGAACGAGCTATAGAGTACCGATTTCTTCGAGAAGATGAAGAACAGCCTCCATTCCCGACCTTCATCCGACGAGCATCGACCGATATAACACCTGGTCCATCGATCGATATGCCCTACCCTAGATCGCGCAAACGACGGTTCGAATCACCAAGCCACGAACCCTACTGCAGACCAGTCTATGTCCCACACGAACCACGAGACGGAGATTACTCGATTGGAAGCTGGGCCAGCGGTTATCACGAAAGTTTTGCAGTAGACACAGTACCCCTACAAGCCGCGACTCGACATGTAGAAACCGTATCGTTCGACAAGGAGTACAAGCCATCGACCGACACGCCCTACAAGCCATTGACCGACGAAGACATTTCTCCATCGATCGATACCAATCACAGACCACCAACCGATCCTACCACAACACCATCGGAGGTACAAACACCTAAATTTGATTTAAATTCACTAATTCCGGATGAGTTTCGTATTTTCAGGGATTCAGATGGTCATGCACGTGCTATAGATGGGAGAATCATTCCTATCTCCACAGAAGATGTTGCAGACATACTCCAGATGGCTAATGGTCCAGTAACTCCCTCTACACAACCACCCTGCTACCCAAACGATCCACTCCAATTTCAGCAGGCATCGACCGATGCATGGCGATGAGCATCGACCGATATACACCGCGAGATTGGGAAAAGAGCTTTCAAACACGGAGTTCGTCGTTTCTCCTGGGAAAAGAAAGATGAATTCGGTGTTTATAGAGATGAAGCTGGTTATGCCAGAGGAATCAACGGAGATATCATCCATGTCTATAAAGAAGACATGAGGAACTTGCTGAAGAGAGCCTCATTATTCGGCCGCTCTTGTTTCTGTCTACCAGAGTTTGCTAAAGCCTACACTAAAGGAGTTCCTGATTGCAAGCTCTACACACAAGCCGAAGTCACCTATATGCTAAATGAAAGAACCGGAGATCACAACTGGGAGATAGGGGTACTAAGACAAGAACATGAGAATGACCTATCCAGACTTCGCAGTGATATGCTCTGGAATACCCCAAGCAAAGATTTAGTACGGTATGAAAGAGAAGCCCTTGAAGAAGAAATCAAAACCTTGCGCGCGCAACTGCAATCTCAGCCACAGCCATTGACCGATACAGATCCCCCTACATCGATCGATACACCCGTACTTAACCCGATTGAGCACCACTTCCAGAAGCTATCGATCGATGAAAAAACCAGTCCATCGATCGATACCCGTGCTCCAGATTTCTGTACAAGGGAAGAATTTGAAGAAACCACAGCACAAATCTACAAATCTATCCAGTTTTGTGAAGACGAAGATTATCGAATCCTGGATGAATACTGGTTTCGCCTACACAGTGATTTCAAAGGTCTGCAATGCACAATGGAAGATATCCAGAAGGAGGTAGAAGATATCCAAAGACAGCTCGCTAGCCGACTGACCCATCCCCATCGCTCGATGAAGCACCCAACGCATCGATCGATATGCAACCTCCAGCCTCCACTGACGATCCACCACACCACGACACCATGCAGCGCACAACAGAACACATCTACAGCATCATTGGCAACCATCAGTACAGCCTTGCCAACTTAGAAGGGTAGTTAGAAAGAATCCAAGCAGAAGTTTATGGTTTGAAGACTAGCATGACCAGAAGTGAGAAGGCCACAAGAAGCTTTCTAACCTCTTGGTTTTATTTTATTTTTACTTACTAGTTTCGTTTTTTTTTTGTTTTTAGGAAGATAGACACACGATCCATACCTATCGACCGATACGAACCAGTCGATATCGCTCGACACAGACCTACACACATCGATCAACAATGGCGACTCACCATCGATCGATACCCATATCGGTCAGGTATATCGTTTCCAATTTTCGATATCAGTTACACATATTTAATTTTTCTTATGCTCTAACTCCGACTAATTATATACTGAGGACAGTGTATGACTTAAGTCTGGGGGGAGTTGATTACTGATGTTACTTTACCTCTTTTTGATCTTTTTGATAAAGTTTCCAAAAATTGGTTTTATTGAGTCAAGAAAGGGAAAAATTTTCAAAGTCTTACTTTTTATCTTACCACTCTTTAACACCATTCTTAGATTTATTGATTGCAGAAAGTACTATAGATGCTAAAGTGGATCACCGATCACCTATGTCAACACTTTCATGATTGTCTGGAAGAACCAAAGCTGATTTCCAACATAACGTGACATCTATTGCTTGTCTTGGGGCTTGGTATACAAGGGATCGGAATCCTCTTGCAAGTCTGGAAGGTAAAAATCTCAAAAATTTTGGTTTCCTTCTTTCCTTCCTTCGGCATCCCCAGAAAATAAAAGATTGAGATGATTTCCTGAGAGGCAGAGGGAGAGGTACATTACCTATGACCCCACTATTCTAAATCAAAGG